ATTACAAATATGGCACTATTGTGCTCCTTTTTTGCTGTATTTAATTACAGACAAATAAACAAACGATCTCAGAGTCTTAGTAGTATATAATATATTAGCTTTAATCAGGGCGATGTCACAGGCTGATCTTAATAACTCAAGCACAAGAGGGTGTGTGCATTTTGATTTCCTTTTGCTGGTTTGTAAAATTAAACTCCTGTAGTAACTCCATCACATCAGCTGTTTCCATTCTTCACTCTGTAGAACCAGATTAAAATGATATGATCTGTTTCCACGACAATATATAGTAAGATCACTCTCTCCCAGCACATTTAGTCCCTAAACTACCACTATAAAAACTGTAAAATAAAACAATGAAAATTGTTAAGGGACTTGGAATTCAAAGAGGTAATTGTGTAAAGTAGCATGTCATATTGCTATTATACAAACTGTTTCTTGTAAGTAGTTTGGAAAAGTCATGTTAAGTATATAAATTAGAAGTTCCAATTTGAATGCTACCTCGTGTGCATGTGGTTTCAAAAATCAGGACAAAGAGCTCTAGAGTTCAGAAGTAGCCATCCCTAATTTTAAATTACCAAATGAAGGGCACTCACAATAAGACCTAGACATTTCTTGCAAATTCTGCATAAGCATGTTGTAGACATTTCAGTAAGAACATTAAGAAAATCTGAAACAATAAGTATTCAAGGTACATACTGGTTGAAATGAAAATTACTTTAAAGGTTTCATTCAAATCTTGCGAGTTTCTGCCCCAGCATTGAAAGACTATTACTATAAGAAACACAGGGCTAGAGTTAATCGAATTTAAAATAATTTTAACATTGTGCAAACGTTCAAGTTACATACACAGAAAAGCACTGTTTGTTTGTTTAAGTACAAAGCTACACAATGGATTATCTGCACTTTGCCTACTACAGGTATCAAAACTTCATTGTTATCAAACAAGCCCTCAAGCTAACATTAGATCTAGTTGAAATATTATCTAATAATAGAGATGTTTTTCACTAACACTTAGAAGAAATGAACCATTAACAAACTGTCTTGTAGGGTTTAAAGACTTCCATACATTTTGTTTCAGTAAGCTATCTTTCAATCCTAAAAGAATTCACATTCATGAACCATGACAAATAAAACAGTTTTATGACAGTGATTTTGCTTTGTCATACCAATATTACAAATTCCAATTATTCTTTTAGTAGACTAAATAAAAAGTCAAATAAATATGCACTTATACAAAAACTCTGTCTGAAATGCCATTTATTATAAATGTAATGACTTAAGTTTACAAAAAAAATGACAGTGACTGTGTAAACAAATAGAATGATCCCCCCTCAAACATGTTTTCCAAAAACAATTTTTATAACCTGGTTTACCCAACTTAAAATACAGCCTTTGCAGCATACATTTATATGCATCTTTAGACCACCTATGGTTGTCCTTCTAATATTATTTTATTGTATATAAATTTGAAAATTAATATTATTAAAATCATTTTCAAAAAGTTTTTTATTCAAACTATATTTTACACAAATACAAAGAAAAAAGTTGTTTTATGATGAAAACATTGTGAAGTCATTGAAGTAAAGCACAGAAGAACATTCATATAAGTATGCTTGTATCATGTTCATTTAATATATCAAACCTTCTAACTATGCTGTTCTGAAACAAAATTAAAGACATGTAAATTCACTTTGATTTCACATTTTAAGTGTGAACATCTTCTTAGTTCCTGTCGTTCCTAGTGGAACATAGGGCTACAACAATAACACTTCGCCGACGAAAGTGTTGTTGCAGTTTCTGTAGCAGATTGTTATCGGGGTGGAGTTGCTAGCCCCATGCCCAAGTGGGCATGTTTGGTGCGACAAGGACGCGAACCCGCGACCCTCGGATTGCGAGTCGAGTGACTTATCCACCGGGCCATGCCGGGCAAGTGTGAACATGAAAACACATATTCCAGACTGATCACTTCTTTAAAAAAAAATTGGCATTTCAAGTTCATCAATCGTAACTCAAATCCACATTAATATTTCCTATTTGTTTTCATCGTTTCTTGTAAAGGAATATGCTACAGAATGATCTCTCCTGTTCATATTGGATAAACTAAAGATAAAAGAAAACCTGATACAATTACTGCACTTAATGAATATTTTTGGATTGGACAACACTACAGCCTACTTTTCTTGACCATAAATTACAAGTTATAGCCAAAAGAAAAAATAACCTTCTTTTTTTTGACACCTATTACATGATTTTAAGATTTCTACTATTACAGATTACTTATCTTTCACTGTGATGACCCAGTTGTATGCTGACTAGACACACCTGTATGTGATAATTCATTCAAAACTTGACAGGTTGTGTTAATACTAAAAGAGTTAAGCACATATATTGGTGCTCCCATTTCAATTTTTGAGTGAATTTTCTTAAACAAAAGGATAAAAAAATTAAAGTTTAGATTACTGAAGTGAAATTCCAGTATTAAGCAGAATAGATACCTGTGAAGCACAAACTCAATAATAACAACTTTTTTTTTAGGTTAACTATTTGTCTAGCTATTATTTTATGTAAAACCTAAACACTTCTATAAGTTATACGAAACCACCATTGATTTAAACTAAGATTGCTTAGTATGCTACATAAGTATGATAATATATTTATAGAAAAGGATTTTTACTACATTTATAGCATTCTCAAATTTGATTATAATTACACAAGTGAACTTTATCTTTTGAGTACATGTAAGTTTGCTACAAAAAGAAACATGCTTCTTCACAATATAAAGATAGCAGTCTAAAATAACTCTATATAGTGAGTAGATCTGCCACATTTTTAGTTTGTTTCAAACATAAGTATAACAAGTGCAATTTTGAGTCAACACCTTTTGAATAATTTTTAGTTATTTTATAGTAAGATATAAAAATTAACACTTGTAATATATAAAGTAGATTTGTTAATGATACATACAGTGGCTACTGAACCCGAGCTAAAGGAAATCCTCAGTAAGATGATTAAAAAAAAACTATTCAAGAAAACTGTAATTCTAATGGAGTTTTATCTATGATAATAAGCATTAGAAATCATACATCTCCAAACCATATACACACATAATTTCAGTTATAATATGATGCATATCATGAATAAAACAGAGAAAAAGCAGTTGGTTGTGCATTAACTGTAATTACTTGATATTCTTGAAAAACCAAACACCATTACAATTAGCACTGATACCATGGAAAAAAAAAAGGATAAGATGAACAAGTTATGGGTGAGGCCTCACATTGAACTTTTTTACTGTTGTAATTAACAATTGCCCATAGAATGCTCTTGTGCAGGGTTGCTCATGCCAGGTGTAAACTATTGTTGAGGATAATTCCATCCCCACTGTGGATACTGATAATCTTGTGCATTCCCAAACCAACCACCCATGTTACCCATTGCTCCTTGTGGCATTGGGGGATACATCATATGCATGTTGTTCATTCCTGGCATGTTGTTCATTCCTGGCAGTTGTTCATTCCTGGCATGTTGTTCATTCCTGGCATGTTGTTCATTCCTGGCATGTTGTTCATTCCTGGCATGTTATTCATTCCTGGCATGTTATTCATTGCTGGCATGTTGTTCATTGCTGGCATGTTGTTCATTCCTGGCATGTTGTTCATTGCTGGCATGTTGTTCATTCCTGGCATGTTGTTCATTCCTTGCATAGGATTCATCCACATGGGATTGTAGTTAGCCTCACCTGTTACTGGCCCATACTGCTGCATACCATTTACTGGCATCATACCTTGTGAAATGGGAGGCATGCTTCCCTGAAATTGGTTGATTTCTGTATTTTGTTCAAGGTTCCTCTCAGTACTCATTGGTGGATCAAAACATTCAAGGTTCCTCTGGGTGTTCATTGACGGGTCAGAATGCTCAAGGTTCTTATCAGTGCTCATTGGTGGGTCAGAACGTTCGAGGTTTCTCTCACTGCTGGCTGGTGTGTCAGAAATCCCACTAGTGCTATCTGGTGGACCAGAGATGCCACCAGAGCCCCCTGTTGGATTACTATCACTTGTTTTATTGTTCTCTTCCTCATTTATCATGTCTTTTAAAGCAGTTGCCAAATTGGTACTGCCATCATTAAGACCTAGGATTGATTCTAATCCTTTTCCTCCTTCATTCAACAAGGTTTTTGTAAGGAGCTGAAAGAAATGAAAAAGTGTTTGTGTATATCTCAATTTTTTGAGTTAGTGTTTAAAGTGCTAAAATTGTAACTAATGTTTTAAACTCACGGTATTAGCTATATACACATACACACACTGGATAAGAAAAAAAATAAAATAGTCAAAATTATGAGTTGGATCACCTTCAGCTTGAGTACGGATTGAAACACAATGAAACATAAATTACACACAATTTTTTGTCATTCTTCAAACAATGTAGTGCATAATTATATCAAAGAGGATGGCAGCTGAGGGAGCTCCTGATGTAATGTTCTAACACATCTCAAAGTACTGATAGATGAGAAGGCTTTTTGTGTGAAAATAAATCAAAGTTTTGGTTTCAGCTTTACCTAATAACCATCACTGATAAGCAAACGAGTAATGATAGTAGATGCTGGGAGTTTGAAAATACATGAAGTATCCTCACATTATTCATTCTCATTCAAACTCAGTTATGAAACACATCAGTAAAATCTGACACTTTGGTGAGCAAAAATATGAAAAATCTAGTACTATTTTGGATTCTTTCCTGGTGAAGAAAGGGAATTCTACTGATAATAGTAAGTCAGTACGTAAAGTGTGTATGTGGCAGGTACTGACTAAAGTAAAGTAACAGAGTAGTATGCAAAGTAATATGTTAAGGCATTCAGATAAGTACAGCAAACTTCTGAGCTTAACTCTCTCCACCTCTGGAACTAGCACAAATAAGAAGACTGGGAGTAAAGCAAAGTTGAGTGTTTCTTCCAGATTTGTCCAAAAAGCAACATGGATATGAAAAACATTCAAATGAAAGAAACAACAGATGAACACAGCTGTTGCTAATTTTACAAGTGAACAAAGTTCCTATTCACACAGTAGAAAAAAAGAGGATTTAGATACACTTGATACCAGTTTCTAGTCTCAAACTGTTTATGGGAAATAGAATCCATAAGTAGTAAGCAACAAACTTAAGCATAAAATTAAAACTTCACTATTATTTATGAAAGCTGTGTTATATTGTATGGGATGATCACTATTTGACAACAATCACACAGTGTAAATTATTTTTTATGGAATCTTTGATAGTTAATTAAGTAAGTAGGGATTAGAACATAAAAAGAAGATCTTTAATAAACTAATTGTGCCCTAATTTTCGATGGTGTCTATATTTAGACATTATGATAAGAAAAGCCAATAAAACATACCAAATGTTTATAGAGTATTAACTTGAAAGAACAGTTTTTGCCTTTGGAAGATCTGGGAATGAAACATCCTCGTTCACCAAAAAGCTCTTGGCCTTTCTGAATGTACCCTGATTCATAATGGTTGGTGGACTGTTTTGGATATTTACACAAAGCCACACAAAAGCTATCTGTACTAGAAATCCCTAACTTTGAACTGATAAACTAGAAGAAAGGAAGCTAGTGAACAGTACTGAGTACTAAATCTTGAGTACTCTAATCAAATAAAGAGGGACTTGACTGTCACTCTTATAATGAAATAAAAGCCACAAATTATAAGCATAATTTTATGAGAACAGGATGTAAACCATGGACCCTTAGATTCACTTTGCAGCACAGTAATGACCAGACCATGTCTGACCCTTAGTTCATAATGAACAAACTACATAGGATTCTGCCTTTGAAATGGACAGGTTCAATGAACAAGAGTATGCAACTTTAGCTGAAGAGCAAAAGAGCTGGTGCTTAATGCCTGGTGATGAAATAGTCAAGACATTTACTAATATCCTCTCTCTACCCTGTATCAGATGCAGTAAGTTTTCAAGGGATTAATAATCAAATGATCTTCAAATGTTTATACAAGCCAAAATAGTGCATAGAATATAGAATATTTTGCTTTCAATAAAATCAGAAGATGATATTGATAGACTCTGTAAAATAACTGAACATATTGGTCTTTGAATTACATAAATAAAGATGTTGATCCTCTTAGTTTCTGAAAAAATAAAATAAATGGAATTTTCAATCCTGTAAGCTATAGCTCAAACAGCTATCTCTGCATATGTACTGCTTCTTGTGTCAGTGAGAGAATCTTCAGTGCAAGTGGCTTCATATCAAGCCACTTGAAATTTCATTGATATACTTGTTCTCACTCATGCCAATATGATTATGAAAATAAACTGAATGACAATGTCATTAAGAAAAAATTATAATGTAGTCAAACCTATTACCTACAAGGTAACGAAATGATTTCATAATTAGTCATTATTGTTACATAAAACTCATATTTAATCCTTACATCTGTGAGTTTATTTCATTTGTGATAAAAAAAATTTCAATGAATTTTAATGTTGAATCACATGATATTTAATGCTTTTCTATTAAAATATTATTATTGATAGCTTAAGAAAAAAATACAAAAAGAGAAGTGGTTCCAGTGTTTTGCTACTCGTGTTGTTCTGTCAGTAGGTGTATTTTTTATGATTATTTTTAAACAAATACATTTTTAAGCATTTGTAAAAGATTGACATTTACAATGTTACAAGTTAAATAGAAATAAAGATTAAAGAATGTTGCTCTAATAATAAACTTAAATATTCTAAAGAGAAAGAATTTAACTATCTCAATTTTCAAGGCAAAACAAAGACTTGAAACCAAATCTAATTAATGTCATGTGAAAATTGAACTCAACAAAGTAAACAGTAAGTTTTTAAATTTGTAACAACACAATAATGATTAAATAGAATCTTCATACAGGCTAGAATAGTGATGGAGGAAGATTTCATAAAAATTTAAAATCAAGTAAAACTGCATTAACAATTAAATTATGAACATATACATGTAAGAAAAGTAGCCACTATCATAATTTTATTAACTCATATTGATTGGCAAGATGTTTGGTTGTACAACTCTATATTAAATTAAAATCAATATTTTTATAGCATAAGAGATGTTTCTGTTTTACAGTAGAATTTGTTTGGAACTTCTTCATGATAATAAATTAACAATTATGTAACAATTAACTTTTTTTATAGAATCATCTGTAGATTATAACAGAAAAATACAATTATTTATCCTTAACAGCCTCAGGATTTTAAAAGTTTACGTCTATTTTCAGTTAATCTTATTGCAAGTTGAACTCTGTATAACTATTGAACCTGCATAACAATGCTATAAATCACCTGCTGAGCATACAGCTAAAGATTACAGTAAACAAAGTATTGAATTCTATAATGCATGTGCTGCTCGGAAGCATATCTTGCTCAGAAATTTTAAATATTTTTTCATTTATGTTTTTTTATTCAACCTAATGTTTCTCATTTGTACATTTTAGTTACGTTTATAACAAAAAATATAAAATATACATAACAATAAAAAACTTAGTAGTTATGATCGGCCTCTTTTTTTTTTTTCCATGCTCTCAGCTTCTGATGAAACTTAGCCCTACTTTGTAACAATGGTAGTAGTACATAACAAAATATTGATGTTCAAAAATGTACAATAACTTAAAAATATTATAATTTAACTGGCTTTCTAACTAAAATACAATTGGATTAAAGTAATTCCCTTACCTAGTCGAGGTCACTACAGTAATAGGAACAATGAATCCATAAGTTGAACAATTCAAACCTATCATGAGAACCAGCTAGCCATATACAGAAATTATTAAATTGAAAGCTTGTCATTCCATTTGTTTTAAATTATCCATTCAACAAATTTCAGAGAGAATTACTGATACTTTTTGAAAGCAAGATATACAATGAGTGGAGTGTGACCCTAAGTTTGCTTGTTATATCTCTGTAAAGCAAAATGCTCATGTGTTATAAATTTACACTTTAGCTTGGGAATATCTAACATATAAGTGTTGTATACTTTCTCAGAAACTTAGAAAATCTTACACAGGTGGAAAGAAAACCTAGAATCAGTAATTCAAAGGGAAAAAGTCACATGATACATAAACATAAGAACTCAGTTTATTTATTTCCATTTGAAATTAGAAAATTCAAACTTAAACAATATTAAAATTTGAATTATAAACTACATTTTGATGCCAGGTTTATTGACATGCACTGTTAATAAAGTTGTTGAATTAAATTTTGAATGTAAATTTGGAAAACAACACGATATGTGCACTTTGGCCATCTTGTATCCAGAGGGGTTAAGGGATTCATGTTCGACAGGATACCTACAGTAGCTTGTTTGCTAGGTTATTAAAAGATATTTCTTAAAATTTGTATCATTACATCTGTGGTTCAGCAATGTTTTTGTGTGGAAATACCCAACATGTGTGCATGCAATCATACACAAGATCATTAGTTTTGAATTTGCTGAACTTGTCTTTTCCTTTTGCAAGATGAATCAATAAGCAGACTTCTTCCCTATTTTTAAAAGTAACACTTAAAATGATACTGCATTATCCTCCACAGGGTGTACAAAAAGTATGGAAAAATAGGTGGTTTGCAGGACAGTACCCCACCTCATTATGCAATGGAAGTCTGAGCTTGGTTGTGTGACACCCTCCCAGGACACTGGATGAGCAGACATGGATCCCAGGAAGGTCCCAAGATCTCCCAATTGACTCCCATCGATTTCTTTTTCTGGAGACTACTCAAGGTAGGTGTGTACAAAGAGAAGACCAGGGACACTGAACATCTGAAACCACAAACCTGCAATGAGTGTCTGGCCACTGAAAATAACATGAATATGCTTTTCAGTGTTCAAAGAGAATGGAAATACTATGTCTAAGCTTGTTTTGAATTAAAAGGGCAGCATGTGAAACACATTCTGTAAAATTTGTTGAGGTGACTATGGTTCCAGACTTTATGGGCACCCTGTATATCATTATTCATTAACACTTTCAAAATTGGTTATCTTGTGACAGATTCAACTGATGGCAGCATCGGACCTGTTGTTAATGTTAACATTACAAATGTAAAGTTGTTGTTGTTTTTTATCCTGTCATAATATTCACAATTACATTGTGAAATAAATGAAGTATAAACTTGTAAATGTTTAGAATCAGCAATTTAAATACACAGAAGTAAAGTTTATCAAGTTTTCAAATCCTCTCCCTTGCCTAAGTACTACATTATTGCAATAAATTCAATAATTGTGATAATTACATGACAATAGTATAGGGGAAACAATTTTTATTATTCCCCATCACTATCCCAAAAATGTTTGATTTAGATGATATTTAAAGATTGTAGTTGTGATCTAGATAAATATTAAAAGTCCACAATATTCCCCACACCAGTCCTAAAACATATGAACTTTATAGATGGAAACATTGTCATTAAGATATATAACCATCAGTATATGGATAGCATAAGAGGATGCACCTAATTACCCACAATTCCTAACTATTTCTTGGATGTCACCCAACATGCTATAGAGATCACGGGTCCTTAGCTATGTCAGTTTACACATGTCCCATATCATTATTCTACTTCTAGCATAATTTTTCCATATTTCTAAAACAGGATATAATGTGTTCCATTGGACCTCATAACTTTCTTCTATTTGTCATGAATTATACTGATGAAATGCTTGTATCCCACCCAGAGTTGAATGTGTTTGTGATATGGGAAGACTCTTGCATGCCTATGGATCCTCAAAATGTATTCTATGTGATTGCAGTCCCTCTCAATGGTGGTTTGTTTTCTGACAGTTTCCATTTAATGTGGACCTTGCAAACTATCTTGCTAGAAGGGACAAATTCATTTAATGGCTACCTGTTATCATGTCTCTTTGTAAGGTTTTTATGCTTGTCCATGTTACTGAGCTAATTAAGTTAACCTATGCAAAACATGCAAGCTTCACTTGCATGGGAAGGGAATGAAGTTGAAAACTGCAATGACAAACCTTCAATAACTTTCTTATCAGTGTGTTTACAAAGTCTTACTTTTCCATAATAAATGATAAAACTAATACAATGATGAAAACATTTTTCTAATTAAAACATATATTATTCAAAAGATGCCTTATTAATTCTTGAGTGCTGCAACTATCCCCAAAGTCTGGCCTAAAATAGTTCTGTTATTAATAATTTATACTTTAATTCATGTGAAGAATGAGTGTACTAATATCATTATTTAGTTAGCTTTATACATGTGGAAAAATATTTTTTTACCATTCTGACTATAAGGAATGTGATAGTCAGAATTTATCCATCAGACTAGGTACTTCTTTCTACTCTTTAGTTTTCTGCAATGAAAGACCTGTAAGTAAACTTGCTGTCAATTTTAAGACCAGTAATTCAAGTATAACGTAGTGACAAATATTAAACATAAGATTACCTCTCTAACAGCTGCTGGCAGGCTTCTGAGTTTATATTGTAGAAGCATCTGAGTAAGAGAATTGATCACTTTCATCACAACTGCAGCATCTTCCTCCGTCTTAATAACACAGTTTGACTGACAAGAGAAAATTAATAGAAAATTGCATAACTACTAGACACAAAGCTTTTGTAATAAAAACCTAGTGAGCTACAAAGTTTCTATGTTTGTGTCATTTTCTTTCATCTATTGAATATTATTATCATCATTATAAAATTTTTATAATGTTCTTACTTATAAATTAGTACAAAAACTATAGGAAGAATTTTATAGAATGTTATTAGTTACAGAAACTAAGATTGGTAGATAACTTAACATTTCATTAACTAATCCTATAAAAAGCAATTATGGATAACAAATAACATTTGGTAACTTGCATATCCATCTTCTTACCGCACAACATTGAACTTACTGTGAGCCAAGTTAGATTTTATTGTACTTTTAGGTCAAAATAGAAATCTATTATCAGAATCATTTTTGCTTCAAGTGATATATATTATATTTCTTACAGTCTATTTCCCTATGTCAAACAGTTAAACTCAGAACCTAGAAATAAATCTACTGCTTACAGCAACACTTTTCATGAAGAAGCAGAAAATAACATGCCCATAAACTTAATTTTCATGACTGACGTATCTCAGTAAATAAAATACTGAAATCACTTTTGCACAAAAACACTACACAATTCAAAACCTGTATTACTATATGAGCCTGCCATATTTCCATTCTAAATCTACATTTGTTTTTCTGGACAAAAACACGATCATAATAAGCAAAAAGTTTTCAATGTTAGCTGACAATGTGAAGATAATAAAATCTGTATTTTAAATACTAAATTCAGCACCTGTAATTGGAATATATTAAATAAAAGCTATTAATTTTGCTCAAACAGTGGAAAGAATATCAAAGAACTTTCATAGCTCTAGATAAAAAACACATTTAAGGAGTAAAGTCTAAATTATGGCCTTTTTTTTAATTTTAGAAAGGGTCAACTTGTTCAGTTCATTGTTTGGCACCAGTGATGTCAGATGTGTGTTAGGGAATTCAGCTGGTTTCTCTTTCAAGCTCTAACTACTCAATAAATCTCACTTGTGAGACAAAAGATTCTGGGAAAAATATTTCATACCTAAAGAAAGCTGAAAATTAAAACAATATCAGAGTGACAAGCAGCATGTGTCCGAAGGTTTTGGTCAATGATGCTACTGTGGTCACTATGAGAGCATGGGTAGTTGTAATCTAGATGAGACAATAGTCCAGACTGCATAAAATGTCCATTTGCCTTGAAAATTCCAATTGTATTATTTATGCATATACAAATCTTAATATAATAGAACAGCTTAACTTGGGGTTTTTTGTCATGTCTATCTCCTACAATAAAGTCATTACATTACAAAGATGCTGTTATAAATGTGATGTATAGGCATACCATGCAACTTACACCTTCTTATTTAATGTAGAATTTAAAAAAGTTTTTATTTATTCTAGGAATGTTCAGTTTTTCACACAACATGTGGTGCGTTCATTCCATGTCATCCCTTGGCGATAACACCTGGTCTACCCATTTGGATTCTGGTTTCAAATGTAATAACACTTAAGTTTGTACATATAAGGCATACAATACACTTGGCATCACTTCTGCTTAATATTTAATGTTCAGTTTCTGTCATTCCTGTCCATACAGTCATCAACTACCGTGACTCGTTTATGATGTGCAACAAATCATTTATACTCAGTTCAATACTATGAAATCCAGAAAAAGATTTCCTCTTGGTATTTGCTCTAATATGACAAATAGCACATCTATACTCTTTGGGCAATGTGAACAAGATAATTGTGTACTGATTGCAATGTGATTCTCACTAGCATAATCCACTTGGACAATAAACAAAAACGTGTGACAGTACAAGTGACTATACAGATAATACTGTGTTCACTAGCTTTATTTCTTCCCTGTATTAAATATATTGCACCCTATCTGATGTTTATGCTTAATAGCATATTGGCAAAGTCAAATAATAAAAGTAAAAACTGTTTTACAAACATCACTGAAGAAAAAATATTTTAACAAAATATTTGTTAAAAAAAGTGATATTTTGCCTCCAAAAAATGTTGAGTGCATTTAGCATATCAAGCAGTTGATGGTGGTGAACAATATAGCAGAAGAATTTGTTGCTCAAAGACATGAAAAATGCTCTAAATATTAGTAAAAATATCAGCTACAAATACCATATCAAATCATAAAATTAACCCATATGTTTTTCATTTAATTGACAGTACAGTACTGAAAAATGTTGTTAATTGCAAAACAAAAATACAAATAATTAATTCATTTTTGCCAATACAAGGAAATATCCATTTTATACTGCTTAGTCCTTAATTTCATTTTGCACACAAAGAACAACATGGACAACAGAATTTTCTTTATCATATATGTGACAATTGTTGTGCTCAACTCACAACAGATGCAATATTTTACAAGTAGTTCTTAACACACTCAAAAAAATCCAGTAAATTGTCTAGTGGGGATACAGCCCACAATCATATAAGTTTCATCATTATGATAAATTTTGTTGTGTGGGTATCACTAACACAACAGCTAGTCATGATCAACTTGAATTATGCAATAATTTTTCATCAACTACTATATAAAGTAATGCATTAAAAAAGAAAAGTTAATTAAGACTACATTAGTTCAGTATATTTTCAATGTGGATATCACAATTACGTGGGAAATCAAAAGCCCTCAGTGAAGACACTGCATGCAGATTTATCAGGTATGAAATAAGTGCTTTCACAAAGACACTGAGGTTATGTCAAAAGATATTGATAAGCTTGCTTTGAAACCAAAGTCAGTCTACAATATGACTTTCAAAGCATGATTTTCTTAATAAAACATTATAAAAGTCACTAGATATATAACTTGATAAAAAAAACATAAAAATTTAGGCAACTATAAGTATCACTATGTTTTCTTCATTATACATAACCACGTTATAATAAGCTTAAGCTAATCTGAATGCCAATGCCTAAACAGAAAAGAAAAGTTTACAAAGGTACTTGTAAACACTTTTATATAAAACTATCACTAGTATTACATCAACTATAAGAACTTCAAGTTATTGTTTATACAGTTTAAGAACTTTTCAAATGTGAAATAACTGCATAGGCAAAGTTTCATCACAGAAATCCATCAAGTATTTTTGGAATACATCCATGTAAATATACAAATCATATGCCATAAATACTGTATATCAAATATCTGATATTAAAAGACTTTCACACTGTAATATATCAAAATGTATATATGACACATTACCCTAGTGGAATTTTATTATTAAGTGTGCAAAATACATGTGATGTGAAAATAATTAAATTTATCAAAACACCTACTTAACAAATATGTCTGACACAAAGTCAGGATTTCTAGATGTACTTTATTTTTGATCCATTAAAATAGAAGCAATATTACACATAAAAACTTAATACCACGTAAAATACTAAAAAACAAACAAACATTACTTGCATTTACAAGAATCATAATTTTTAAACTATTGTTTCACAAACAGATTACATCATCAATTACACTAAAGTACTAAACACGGAACATGAATCAATAAATTCTAGATATCATTTATATATATATATATATTATTTGC